TTGACGGGTACAACCTAATATCTACCATTTCTTTTCACACCTAAAAGTCAAAACGTTACAAACATCTAGATATGTAATTTTTTGTGTTTGTTCTCTCTCGTTAGTACTTTTTGAGCTTGCGGAGATACCAGTTCCTAATTGGAATGCGATCGGTAGTTAATTAGCGGCTCTCGCTCGTTTACAATACGTCGGCGAGGCGAGGTGACGTCTCGAATTAATGAAAGAGAGTCCTCTTTGCATGGCTACCGTGGGTCGACGACCTTTTAATTATTTCTCGAGATTTTACAGTCTAATCATCTCTCTTCTTTATACACGAATTGTGACATGCATGAAAGAGTGTTTCGTGCTACGGTTTTGCTATGTTTTTGCCTCGTTTTGAGTTTTCAGACTTATTATGCAAATGTATGTCGTTGCTTACAAATTTTTTTTTATTGACAGATACTATTATTACTACTACAAATGTATGTCACTACTTAAAATATTTTTTTTATTGACAGGTGCTATTATTAGTCATTATTATGACGATAGATTTTGTTGATAAGTAAAGTGAAAATTTCTGTGATTAAATAATATAGAAACTTGGAAAAACTAGTATAATGGAATTAGGGATTTGGAAATTTGAGAAAGCTTCAGAATTAAGGCCCATTTTTACCTGGTTACGTCATTAGTCATAATTGACCCACGTTTTGCTATTTAAAGGTAAAACAAAGAAACTCTTATCCGTCTTAATGATGTTGGTGCATAATGCAATGCTGGAATATGAAGTCAGAACATACCACCTCAAGGACACAGCTGACATCCGGAAACCTCAAGCAAAAGTCATCAATCATCTGTTAGGTATAAAAAGGAACGTAAAAATGTCATAGATTTCACGAAACAAAGCTTGAAAAAATAATAAATAATCTTTGAAAGTTGTTTTACCATATTTCAGTTTTAAACATTAAATATGAAATAAAGTTCAAAAATGTGAAAAAGTTTGAAAAAATGACGGTTTTCATGGAAAAATCAGTTTAAATATCTCTTGAGAGTTTGAGGAAAAACAGTAGAAATATATAATATAATAGAAAAAATAAAAAAGTGGTTTAAATTGAAGCTAAATCGGCTGGAGTCATTTAATACCCCAGTATGAGCATTAGATATTAAAATTATATACTGTTGAAAACAATACCAAAAAGTTTTTAAATTAAAAGTATTCGATTTAGGAATTTGGCAATTTTTAGATATAGAATTACCAGAAATCTTGAAAATATAAAAATTTCGTAATTTAGAAACTTGCGAACTCAACAAAATTTGAGAATATAAAAATGAAAAAATTCAAAAACTGAAAAATTCAAAAATTTGGAAACATGATATTTTATAAATTCAAAAATCATTAAGTGCATAAATATTCTTGTACATAGTTTACAGACTAAGAATACTTACACTCGATGGTTAATTATATTTGTCAGTAATGAAAGGATGAATAATTTTCGTAATTGTCGGACATCAAATGTTCTGTTGTTTATTTGTCATTATTTGTTCACTTATAATAAGTTCGTATCGCTGCTTAAATGGTTTCACGCAAAATGGGAGCGCAATTACGAAATCAAAGTACCTCGAAATTCGATAGATACACATTTCGCATCGTCTTTAATAAATCCACCGTTATTTGGTGTTGAATCCTTAAGTATGAATACATGAAAATCAGTACGTGAATAGTTTTATGCAAAACTCGGGTAATCCGCTTTTTTCAAATAGACGATTAACATACTTTTGATTACGTTTTTTTTTCTTTTTCGCTAACTCTAAATTGTTTGAACGGGCGGTCGATAAAGAAGCTTTGCTTCGATCTGTATACAATAATTAGTCCTTCGTTCCTATTTGAGGACGTTTTTTATTAGTTCGAGGATTTATATTTTTTCTTCGTCTAATCGATCATCTTCATACTCGATTTTTGTTGGATATGTAACGCGTTCTTCGTTCTCGTTCATCGTGTGCGATTTAATATTAACCCCTTGCTTTATAATTTATAGAACAATTGCCAGATTGTAACTTGAATGTGATAAAATTAATCTTAGGTAAGTATTTTCTGAATAATTAAATTTTAATTTATATTAGTTACAATTTATAATACTGACTTTTGGTAAACGAAGGTTACATAAAATATCGCAGTTTCTGTTCATTTTATGAAATACTGTTTTGTTCATTTGTTGAAAGTTCATTTTTTAAAATATAATTTTTTTCATTCGTTGAAATGTTATTTAATTCATTAGTTGAAATATTACTTTGTTCATTTATTGAAATACAGCGCTGTTCATTTGTTGAAATATTGTTCGGATCATTTCTTCAAACGTTTAAATTAATTTCAGTATATTCGTCTAACAAAAAATTATAAAACAAGGGGTTGACAAATAAATAATTTACAGTTGTGTGATTTAAATAATTCGAGTAAAAATATAAATAATTACAATTGTACTTATTCGCAGTGGTTTGTATCGTAGTTTGACATAAACAGACGTATTTGTATCTGTGACAATGCGTGAATATTAATTAAAGTCGTTATTAATTTTTACAAAGTATAAAATTTATAATTTGTATGTTGTTTCGAAATCATTCGTTATTTTAAATATCAGTAGGTACGTGATCACTTCTATATAAAATAGAAATTGTTACAATAAACGAGTAGAGTGAAATCGAAGGAATCGTAGCTTAACACATATAAATAAACGTTTATTCAGTTTTACATTCAGTTACGCTTAACACATTCCAAGTGAGAAATTCAAAGTTCGATAAATATTTTTGTAGCCTTTATTCTTCTATTTCTTCTATTAAAATTATATTTCTAAATGTTGTAACGATGAATGTCATATACGTTACAAGATTAACTTTATAATTTTTTCTTTTTAATTTTTGTTGGTTATGGTGCATTTCTCTACCTTTTTATTTTAAGTTATCTATGTCTTTCATTGTTTTATTGCATGTATAGAATTAATAATTAACACGTTGAATGCTGTAGTAAAAATTGTCGCGTATAATAGGATTTTACAGCCCTTATTTTGTTATATTTTTAAGGGGATGTGATAGCTGCCATTTTGTGTCAAAACGAGGCATAAGTTCGACGATGAGATTAACATTAATTAATTCTATCGAAATACAAAAATTAAAGTTAAAAGCAAAGTAATTATTATTTGTATATTTGTATAATTCTTTTTATAATTTATGTAACAAAACCACCATTTATATAACAGTCTTCAATAAATACAAATCAAACACTTTCAATAATTTTTATAATTTTACAACAACCCGTTAGTTCCATATTTTCCATATAAAACTTTTCTAAATCGAATTAAAAAATAATAAACAGTATTACAATGTAGTAAATGGACATTGTGGAATTATCTATATGGTAGATGTGATTGTCAAATATGCATAATTCCATTTATTTATATAATATACAGTATTATAATTTATATAATAGAGCATTATAATATTATATACTATATAATAGAGATAAATCCAGTTCATCAAGTTTTAGAAAATGTTATAAATAAATATGTTGGGTCATGCAAAAAAGAGTTGAGAATAATTGCTGTATAATACACTACAGTATAGCTACATACAAAATAATGTAGTTTCATTGCTTTTAGAATAATTTTATATTGTTCCATCTTTCCATTTAAGCTTTCATTTTAAGTAATATAATATTCACATTATAAAACAATACATATACATTTATTAAAAATTCGTTTTGAATTTTCATATAAAAACTCGTGGCATCGATTATCAATTTACAGCATTCAACATATTAATTACAATTTTTCTGAACACAACAAAATAACTAATAATTTGACATTTCTTCACTTCTTCAATCTTCCCTTCTCAATATTTTCTCTCAAATATAAAGAAAAGAATTATCATGGACGATAAATTCACCGAAAACAACCAATGACAACAAACAATTCGCAAAAATTAAAAACTACCATAGAATATAAAAATTTTCGTGTTCTTCGTCAAATAAAGAGTTTTCGGTGAATCGGTTAAAACAGCGTTGCAGTTTGTTCCAAAAATTGTGTTCGTTTAACGTGTATCGATTCTTGATTCTTTTCTAAATCGATTTTTGTTTTAGAAAATGAAGGGAAATCAATAGATTGATTGAATTAATCGTTTTACTGGCGAGTTCATTTTTTCCTTGGAAGACGTTGAAATAAAGAGAAACGTCTTCGACTGCAGAGAACAAAGAACCAGTTCCATCGCGATGGAGGCTCTGTTGGCCTGTTCGCTTATTTACAACATAGAGAAGAGATCTGCCTACTGTTTGTAACGCTATCATATAAAGGCGATACACTTGGGAAACGCATGCATGCATGGCCGCAAGATATTACCAGAGCGAGGGAAATTTTACTCTACAGGGCATCTCAAAAGAGATGTACATCATAAAAGTTACAGATCATCTAACAGTAATTGACAAATTCTTTTCCATTGTGCAACGTGAGCCTTTGCTTTTGGGCATATTGATGATTACACGTCGATTGTTTTATTTTTTGAAGAATTAAAAATGAAATTTGAAGGATAAATGTATGAGATGTTTTGTATGATTTGGGGATTTAGAGATTTGGGAATTTGGAGGTTCCAACATTTAGAGATTTAGGAATTTAAGGATCTGGGAATTTAAGAATTCAGGAATTTAGGGATTCGGAAATTTTGGGACTTATATATCTACGTATTTGTATATTTAGGAATTTAGGGATTTAGGGTCTGAGGGACTTAGGAAATCAGATACTTAGGGACTTAGGAATTTAGGAATATAAGGGTTTGGAAATTCGGGAATTTAAAGATTACGCAGATTTAGGAATTTGGGAAACTCTACATTTATGAATTTCGCAATTTAAATTTTTTGAGGATTTATGAGTTCATGAGTTTGGAGACTTGCAAATTTTTCTTTTAATCTTCTAACCTTGCAAATTTCTGTATGTCCAGAATATATTCAACATCCTTCACATTACATTGGAGAGTAAAAATCAACCAGTACCCTATTCAGCTATGCCAATGAAACAACCAGTAATCATTGACATCTCCAAAAGCAAACAATCAAATCACAAAATGTTGCAAGATATTTTCCAACTGTCGTCATATTCACAACATACACGCCTTTTGAGACACTCCGTACAGATAAAACCATCGCTCGATCGTTCAGGACAACAGGGTAGGGAACTTGTTGCTCGTTGCTACTTGTCCGGCTACGTATGTGCACGTATACGTATTACTCTACTTCCATTTGATAACGATGAAGCTGTAAAACTTTTGGAAATTCTGGAAAAGATCGCTTCCTCCGTTTCGAGCAATCCGTCGAATAGGAGGTTGGCTCATGATCTATGGTACGTATTGAACCCTCGTTCTCGAGGGATGAGAATGTGTCTTGTCGAATAAGTCTGTTCACGCGGCAAACACGAGAATTACGTTTATATTTTTTCATTCGAGTATTTTCCTTCCGTAGGATTATCGCGAGCATCGACATCAGGATTTCGTTTGTCTCAGATCCACCGTTTGCCATTGAAGGGATCTAATGTTGCTCTGTGCTCGATACTCGTTTAATTTCCGACGAGACCACGTAGTCTCGTGGCGAGGCATTATTTTCTTACCAACGAGACGAAACCGCGGTGCGTCAGCTTCGGCTTCAACGACGATTTGTTCGGACCGGTGCTTGTTTGCTGATGACTTCTGCTCGCTGCCTGCTGCTCCCTCGCGTTCTGCTTCTTCTTCAACGACTCCTGCTTGGCACCTCTGTGCATGTGAACGCAGCAGAAGCTGTTTATTAGCGCGACAGGCCGGAAAATATAACGTTTGTCATAGTTTGCCCGGTAGACGTTAGTGTTGGTTAAAAAAGGAACTAGGGACTATGCGAATTAACTATGATGGTGAATCTGTGGAGGGTAACTGTACCTAACAGCGCAATTCTGGAGAAAATCGTAGCTGAGTAATAATAGATCTTGATTAGATATTTTGATAAATCGAGAATTAAAATGTGGCTCCATTTGTGAATATTCATACGACTGTTTAATTCTCTGATTTCAAGAAATTATGTTAAGGTTAATGTGACCATTAACGTTTTCGTTAGTGACCATTGTTTATTTCATTTTATTTAAAATAACATTGATCAAACTGTTAAAACATTGCAGTTGTATTTTGTTTATTATTTTAAGAATTTATTAACTAGTTTGTTAGCAAGTATAATTACAGATTTTAATGAGACAAGTTAGTAAAGACATGTATTTCTAAAATCACCAATTTGACAAAGAAAATGTATATATATTTTTGTACCTTCCTTATTTTTCCTAAATTCTTTTAATTTTGTACCTCCTTTATTTTCAATATTAATTGTTATCAGATTTTTCTTTTATACTTTCATTCGAATATACTAATCTTAATTTCGTTGAAAAATTATTTCATATTAGGTGCAGTTACCCTATGAGTTAATGTCGCTAGGCATGAATAAGCTTAAAAGTTGTTGTTAAGAGATGTTAATATTTTTAATATGTATTTTTAATCGAGCTATATTCGAAATAGAAATGAACGTTCTTTTCTTATGATGTACAGCGCTGTTCAAAAGTTTGGAGCACTTTTCACGGTTTTAGTTAAAATAGTCTTTTAATACATAGCTTTTAATATGTAATAATAAAACTGTAATTCTGTTAGTAATGTTATGTTTGTGTATTAAAATAACATTACATAAGAATGTTTTAATACTGAAATTAAATTTATATCATTATTTAAAAAAGATATAAGATTTATTTAAAAAAAGTAGTTAATAGTTAAAATAAACTTTCTTCTAAAAGCGGTTAAAAAGGAGTACAAATAATTATCGTGTTGCAATTTAAATCTCTAATTCATAGTCAATTATTTAATCATTTTGGACATCATAATATTGTATGCACAATTGTTCAACATTAAATAATAGTCTTTAATTATAGCATCTTTATTTTATATTTCTTTTACAAGAGATCATTGAAAAATGTTATTAAGACAACTAAAAATCCATTAAGCATCTATCACTGTTCAAAAATAATATTGTGAATAGAAAGATTGTTCACTTTAAGGCAGCTATTTCTTTCAAAAAGAACATATGCTCCCAACTTTTGAACCGCGGTGTACAATATTAAAACAACAAATGGAGAAGAAGCTAATTTATGTATGCTATGTATGATGAGGTGAAAGCCACAGTGCAGTAAATCATATTATTAAAAATATTGATTTGTGTGCGAGTACAATCAACAAATGTCTGTTCATCAAAAAACATAGCGAGTAAGTCGTAAACATACTTGTACACGAGAAGGTGAAAGCCATAATGATACGACAGATTGTTTAAAATATTGTCTTCTGTGCGTAGACATAATTTATACATGACTGTTCATTTCAAGAAAAAGTAGTACCAGTTGTAAATCTACTTTTACTTCAAGAAATAACAGTACTATGTAGCAGAACATAATATGGATGGAGCAAATGTTCAATTGAAGAAAACCTTTTATTTCTCAGGATGAGAATTCAATGACGTTACTATAATTTTCAATTTCAACTCATCACTTTAATACATTGGCTGTCACGGTAGAAATATCTACATTACACTTCATTTTCCAAAATTGAAGATTTTCACTTATAATTTATTATTTCAAATTACTATCATAATACTGCTGTATTAATTTTTAAACTATAGTTATTGATACAACAGCGAACGTGTTAATATGTAATCAGATTGATTAAGAGGTAGCAATTTAATAGAAACGTAATTAAACCAGGCAATGATAATAATAATAAAAGAAATAGTGTAATACTGAGTATGGAAATAATAGTTTATTTAATGGTTATTACAAAATTGCATATTTAAAGGACTAGAATATTTTTGCATCTACTGTTTAAAAATCACTCTCATAAATTATTTATATTTCTACTGCTTAAAAATCATTCTCATAAATTATTTATGCATCCACTGTTTAAAAATCATTCTCATAAATCATTTATGCATTCACTGTTTAAAAATCGTTCTCCTAAATTATTTATGCACCTACTATTTAAAAATCATGATTATAAACTAGTAAGAATGCAAAATTTGTATAAATAATTAAAGGAAGTCTATTTCATCACCGGAAGATGATGTTACTTTACTTAGCGTATTTACGATATAATAATAAGCTAAATAGACATGTAAGTATATCGCTTGAGCTGTACCAACTTCTGTTTTTGCCAGCAGCGGCGAACGTAATTTCGCAAACAAAGCAGCTTAAAAGGCGGTGAAAAAAAAGAATGTGGTTGCTCGAGTACGTGAAAGCGAGATCGATTTTTCTTAAGAGTTCTCGTTCCATTTCGCAGTCGGAAAAATAGGCCATGCGTCCTTTCGCGAGCACTCTTTCATACTTTAAGTAATCTTAATTGCGTCGAGTAGGTTGCGTCGGTCGAAAGAAAAGAAAATGAAAGGAGGGACAATTGAGGTTCAGCGCAGAGGATAACTTACAGATATCGAGTGAGATCTTCCACGTCGACGAGCATCGAGTCTTGCTCCATGTGTAGATCATCCCTTCTTAAAAGTCCTTCGACCAGCGCCTCGTTTAGGGCTGCGATTCTGGCGTGCAAGTCATTTGCTACTACTTGAAGCTGTGCGACGTTTAGATCTGTTAAAAGTACTCGGGACAATCTGCGTCTATCCTCTCCCAATTGAACGCCAACCTGAAGAGAATAATGGAAACCATCAATTCCTTGGTTTCGCGTCGGATGATGCATTTCAAATTTCGCGCGCGAACTTCGTTCTTACGCGCGATTATCTGTGAAAGTACTGATAATGTTCGCGTTGAATTATTTTCTTTTAATGCTTACTACTTATTTTAATGTACAACTAAATATTTATTTTACAGCATATACTTTGTGCAATTATTTGGACATTTGGGAATTTGAAAACTTACAAATTGGAGATTAAAAAATTTAAGAAAGGATGATTTGGATATTTGGGAGTTGGAAACCTTACAAAATAGCGATTAGAAAATTTAAGAATTAATGATTTCGATATTTGAGAGTTGGAAACCTTACAAAATGGCGATTAAAAAATTTAAGAAAGGATGATTTGGACATTTGGAAGTTTGGAATTTTACAAAATGGCGATTAGAAAATTTGCGAACTTAAAAATTTGAAATTCTGGAAATGTAAGAATTTGAAAATCTGAAGATTCTCCGACATCCGCTAATTCTTAAATAAACTAATTTCTAAGCTTAAAAATTTCGATAAATATTGAAGAAACGAATGATGTTCCGACAGTTTTTAGCATCTAATAATTCAATGTGAAACGCACTTTTTCCAAGCTGGATCGCACCATCTCCGTAATGGGACTCTGTTTCAGCCTTTGCCTCTCAACTTCCATTTGCATGTGCGCCATTTCCTTTGCCTGTGCTAGAGCCATTCGTGCTTCAGTCTGTAATCTAGCTTGTTTGGCGAAAAAGTCAGCTTCATCTATCGGGGCTGAACTCGAACCAGTCTCCAGCCTTAAAGAAGGAAGACTGAGCACTTGAGGTCTAACTGGCATTTGTTGTTTTTGTTGTTGCTGATGGTGTTGTTGCTTCGAACCTAATGAAGTCGGTGTGGACTCTGGAGATACGTCGTTCTCCGAACACGGAGACTCCGTGTCTGAAGGTGTTTCGTTCATGAAGCAGATTTGAAGATTCATACCTAAAATGAAAATTATATTTTTGTTATTATTTGTTCACAAGTTATTTTATTTTAAGCTTTCTCTGAATTTTCATGTTTTTGACAACTGTTTGTGATAATTATCTGACGTTTCTTCTTATGTTAGTAAAATGTATATTATAATACTATTACTACTAACAGAATTACTGTCTTCTTATGCTATTATATTATAATTTATCCTTGTATACTATTATATTTAATATACATCATATATAACACACATGTAATAGTGTATGTTGAAATAGGAGAAAAATTGATTGTCTACAAGATAAATTAAATTTTGCTTATAAATTATTTTGGGTAACCTTTTGTGAATTTAGAACTTACAGAAACTACATTTAATTTATTATTGTGAAGTTTAATGTGTTCTTTGATGTTAGCAAAAATATTTTTTACAAAAAGAAAGTAATTCTATGTCAGTAATATGTATATTGTATAATAGTATAATAATATATTAATATTATATACATGTATCGTATAATCATATAATAACACAATGGTGCCCATTGTATAGTAGTATAATACAAGAGTATTACTATAAGAATAGTATAGAACTTTTTATTATCGTCCATAAGATTAATTAACCTCTTTTCCTTCACTTTTCATCACATCACCCAGAAGATAATATTAATGTGAAAAGTTTGAAGTTAAAAATCGTTGGAATAGTATTCATCAATCAAAACATTCATTATTAACTTTCATACACTTTTTTCATATCATCAACTTCCATATACAATTTTTCATAAAGAATTTCATAAAGAATTTCATAAAGAATTTCATATTTGTAAAATTCATTAGCTTTCTACATGACCCGAATGATTCGTATTCAGTTGAAACGTGTTCCACTTAAAAATTTAGTCAAAAGTTTTATTCAATATAATCAAGTGGTGCGTTCGAAAGTACAATTGGAAAGATCGAATACAAAAAATAATAAAATTTTGCTTGTCTTGCCTTTAAGAAAACTTAAAAACTTTTAATATTTTCTGAAAATTATTTATTATCTCTATTATTCGAAAATTTGAAAACATTGAATTTTTTTGTTACACTGTAATGTTTTTATCGTTACAAAAAAATGTAATATTACAGGAAAAATATTTTCTATTTAGTTATATTGTATAACAGATCATAATTCATACAGAGACTAGTTAATAAAAATAAAAATATTATTTGTATAATTTATAACAGCTATTATATTATCCATTTTAAACAAAACAATGTTTAATTTTAACGTTACGTTAATTACATACTTTTTGTAAAATTACACTCTTGTAAAGTATTGTAAGAAAGTATTGTAAAGTCACTAATTAAGAAACTATTAATTTGCATGTAATAATTACGATAAATAAAGATTGATTTAGTATTTTGTAAGACATCTTTCTTCCTAGAAACGCTGTTCTTTCAAGCGTTGAGGCATATTACAATTCTTTTCTTCAAATATTCTATGTTTATAATGTTCTATTCTTCTGTCAGCCATTGTTTCAAGGTTTCTTTAGAGGACATTAAAATTTTGTAATTCTCCGTTGGATATTGCAATCTTTCTTAATAATACATAAATGTCGTTTAAATTCTCATTTCCCCTGCATTTTTCGGTAAATTATTTTCCAGAATAGAAAGCTGAACATTCTCATCCATCAAGTTATCAGTGAAAACTAGTTCAACAGTTCCAAATACCGAAATACATTTTCGTATCAGCATACATCCATTTTCGTACTTTATTGTTGCGGCTCGTATTTTTTATTTTAAATCCAATAGAAATAGAATATCGAATAAAATATTAGAATGTTTTTATATTGTTTGTGTAACGAATTTAAATATGTTAAATTTATTTTCTTCACTAAAGATGACATCATTCATTTATTACAAATATTATTAATATAATGCTTCATTTAAAACATATTAAATATTAAGTATTATAATATATGCTGTAAATAAAATTTATATTTTTGTTAATGTTGCAATATTATGTACAACTGAATATTTATTTTGTTTGTTACAAACAAAATAATATTACGATGAAGTAAAAATCGATGAAGTCTACCTAATGACCGAATAGTATGGTTGTATTTAAGTTTTATATTAATTAATCTTGTTATAAATTATCTTCATTCACAAAACAAAAATTACAATAGTAATTTTTGTAAAAATGAAAAATTAAAAATACAACAGCAATTTTAGAACAATTTTTGTAAAAGTTGCTAATAAACGAAATGCAGTAGATTGGATATATTTATACAGTGCTAAATGTTCTTATACAATTTTTGCAAAATACTAAATATTCTTACAAAATATTAAATTGTTATTACTACTAAATAGAATAAAATGGATCTAATATTAGTAACACAAAATAAAAGAAAATATTTCTCAGAATATTCGTGCTCTCGTTATTAAATATTTATGAACATGTTTTATCATATTTCATGTTTTCAATGTTTCATGTGTTCAACGTTTATTACACAGTTAATGTACACAACTAATTTAACACGTCGACTACCACGTCCTACGTAAATAATGCTTGAGTTTCCGGAGAACCACAGAACTCCCTAATTATATTATCAAGAATCCTCTTAATTACAAATACTCCGCTTAGATACTTAAAATTGTAAGTAATAGAAATTAACTACCATGAAAATTGTTTGTACTGTAAACAAGTTTCTTTCACAAATATTTAATAAATTTTTAAATTCAATTTTTTTGCAGGTAGATAAAAATAACACGTTGTAAAATTTTATTGTATATTTTTGTCTTACTTTCTCATTCAGATTCTAATATTTTGTTAAACATATGATTATAAAAAAATAATAAAATTGCAAACATTCCTTGTCTTTTTTAATCAAAATTTTTCGTCGTGCCTTAAAATATTGCAAACTTGCAATATTATTTACATTATAATAAATGTACGTATATTATCTGCAATTCTATTTAGTTGAAAATTGAAGTCGATAATGTTTTTAGTTGAAAATTGAAGTTGATAATGTTTTTGGTTGAAAATGTTGTTACACCATCTGCTCCAAAAACCGCATTTTCAAAATTACAAAACAATGCAACAAAGAATTACCGGTCATCGAAAGTGTCCTTAATCAACAAATTCACAGCTGTTCCCCTGTAACCGAGCTCAATGAAAAATATACAATTCAACAAAATTCTCACAAATCACTAAACCAATTAAACACTCCAATAATTGTATCCATAAATTACACCCCATGGAAGTGCAAAAGTTTCCTCGTAATTGCGTCATAATTCGCAATCGTTAATTTCCACACAAGTACACCCAAAACATCACTTTGTCACAAACTAAAATCCCCACCGGTTTCATTAATTTTCTAACCGACGATATTCAGTTCTCTAACGATCATGTCTGTTTTCTGATCGATCAATCACTCCGATCGTCAGCGAGTAGTCTCACAAAAATGCAAGATAAACATTTTCTTTTCGATAAAACAAACGTGACGTGCGATGTGTTCAGGGTTCAAGTGATACCGACCGCTTTGAAGCCGCGACTGGAGGCTCGGTTTTCTTCCGCGTTCAGCGCGCAAGTCTTCAGCGTCTGGACCCATGGCCAACCTCCGTCGTATCTCTTCACGGTCGTTTCGTCGCTGTGAACAGGAAGACAGAGGAATCTGAAGTGTGATTACTCGTTACACTCGTGCGGGGGGAGGTCGGAAGAAACCCCCTCGATGCATTTAATCCCCTATCCGCCCCCCGAAAGCTTCTTCTCAAGCTGTATCGGAATCGCAGCCGCGTGGGAGTGAAAACCATTAATGAGATTGACAACATCTTTCTCTGATGTGCATAATGCGTCGCGAATTGTTTGCCTGCTGAATCATTGATATTAATTTAATGAGCAAGCTACTCGTTAACCTTTTAGGGTGATTTGTGAGGGAGATGCAACTGGTACTGTGTTTTATGCGAATTTAGGAGTTTACCCCTGAATTATTGCGATGCTAGATCCTTGTATTGTTGGATATTTATGTCTCTGGATTTTAGTGTATATAGATACGTGTATTAGATCTGTATGCTTTTGCTGTATACATAGGTCAGTATAAGAGAGCTATGTATATATCTGGATTTCTAATTTCCTGGTACCTGATATTTCTAGGTCCTTACTTGGATATCAATATTCTAAGATTTATACATAGTCTTCGATCTCTATATTCATAGATTTGCACTCCTAAGTCCGTGTAATCCATAGGTTGTCCAATACTTAGATAACCTAGATATTCAAATCCTAAGAACCTTAGTTCTTCATAGACTTTTAGATCCATATATCATTTTATTCCTAGGTCCCTAAATTCTTAGTATTCCATATCTTCTTCTTTCCAAATTCCTATATTCCTAAACTTGTATATTTCAAAACCACTGTTTATAAATCCCTGTATTACAAAATTCTTACGTTTTCATATCTCTGCATTTCTAAGCTTCTACTTGCCTCTCAAATTTAATTCTGAATTAACTACCTAACACTAAACTACCAAAACGTTCAAACGGTCGTTTCACAGCTTTTTTAATCTATAAAATTTGTTAAGGAAATTTCTTTGAAATCAGTATTCACCATAATAGATAAAGAACTAATATACCAATTTGTTTCGCCATTTATTTATTTTTCAACTTCACTTTTATTTACAGAATAACTGTGTATTAGACACTGAAAGGTTTAAGGAAAATTGTATTATAATTTATATTAAAAAATCTACGATTGCAATTTGATTTAGTTAAAAATGTAATTAATGTCAATGTAGTAATAACGTGTTATCAATACTCTCTCATGTAGTTTGCAAATTTATGATTAAAAATCTAACGAGAGTATAATTTATGAAGGTTTATATCAAAGCGGAGATTTTAGGTGGGTCCAGTGTAATATTGAAACATGCAAAATTGTGAAACAGGTAGCACAGATATTTTTTATTTAATTTATGACTTAATATGCAACGTGAGCCGCGTAATATCGAGATATACAAAATTTAGAAAAGATAGCGATATTTTTTGTTGAATTGCTTTTATGGGTCAATGTGCATCATAGACGAGTGAGCCTCTAAAAATCACTGTTTTCGAAAGTGGGTTGCGGTCCACGAAAGTTTGACAAGCATTGCACTAAAGTGTGAGTAATTGAGCTAATTCAATAACGAAGCAGGAAATTAAAATTATGCAAAAGTTGAATAAATTGTTACCGAATTGTTCCTATCCAAAATTTTGTACTAATGTAATATTCCTATTTTTTAATTAAATCATCACGAATCAGCGAAATTAAAATCTATCCATTCAGGAAATATTACCAGACAGTTCTCAGACTTCTCTATTGCTAAATTTAATGGTTTTAAATTATGAAGAGGATATTTTCCAATCCACTTTCACGAATGTGAACTTGTAACATCCGCGTGAGAAGCTATTAGCGGAGCATAAGTTAAACTGTTTCGTTCGAGTAAATAGGATTTTGCTACGTAAACAGTCGAAGCAGATTTAATTTTCAATTTACCGAAAAATCGGGTAAAAAATTGATCGAACAAAACTTATTTTGGCAGTGGTTAATATCAATTCGTACGCTAACCTGCCAAGAGATAAAAATCAAACTGCATAGAAGAAATCGTGAAATCGAACTAGATACATTTATTCTGGCAAGCGTTCGAAATTAATCACTAGATTCTTGTTTGATGCCAAGAGATTCTGAAACTTTGAACTATAAACTTTCTTTCTGGATATGGAACACGTAAAGACCTCGTAACGGTTTATATTGTATTATATTCGTGTATAATTCTGTAGTTTTTAAAGAAAATTTAAAATAATATTTTTAGGAAGTTCAGTTCAATTATTATTATATTTTACTTATTTAATTGCAATTAAATTTTTGAACAGATATACAGAGGGATTGAGTGAACTACATTGTTTAAATTTACTTATAAATTTGATATGAGACAATGTTTCAAACATTTTGTAACGTAAGAGATAGTTTATAAGTAAATTTAACTAAAACAGATAAATGTCTGACCCTTAAATGACTATAAATACAAATATACAGGGTGATTCATTTAATTGTACCATTTCAATTTACTCTTAAACTACCTAAATGCATTAGAAAATTTTTCAAACATCCGTTTAAGATATAAAATAGTTCACAAATAAATTTAACGAGTACAGTTAAATGTATGATCCTTAAATGATCATAAATACAAATATACAGGATGATTCATTTAATTGTACTATTTCAATTTACTCTTAAACTATCTAAATGCATTAGAAAATATTTCAAACATCCGTTTAAGATATAAAATAGTTCACAAATAAATTTAACGAGTACAGTTAAATGTCTGACCCTTAAATGACAACGAATACAAAATACAGGCTGATTTATTTAGCTGTGCCATTTCAATTCATTCGTAAATCACCTATTTTCATAACAAATAGTTTACAAACAAATTTAGCTAATACAGTTAAATGTCTCACCCTTAAATGACTACAATAGAGAACATAGAGTAACTCATTTAGCTGTACCATTCAAATAATAACAAATAAATTAAAAATAATTCAAAAATAAATTTGGGACGCATTTAAATGTCACCCTTAAGTGACTATATCATAGAAGAAAACTAAGAATAGAAAATAGAAAACTAAGAATAGAAAACTAGAAATAGATCCAAACGATTTTCACTAGCTACAAAGGAGGAGTAATAGTAACATCAAAGGGCTAAATTCAAAATGGCGGCTTCTAAAATTTCATTTCTCCCATTATTATAAGAAGCTGTATGGTGTAAGAAGCTTCCCTGAATATTCTTCAGGGAAGAATTTTGCAGGATTTCCACGAGTCGCACCTGAAGAGTTTCATCTGGATCCCCGCGTACTACTCTATCGAATCGCGTGACGAGATCTTCTCTTTCAGGTTCCTTCGAGTCGTCGGATTTCTGGAACGACGCGATCGTTTCTTGTGGTTGTTCCTTGACGGGCTCTTTATCGTCGTCCTGATGCCCCAGAAATGAAAGCCAACTTGGTAATCGATGTGATACGCTCGATTACAGGGCATTGATAAAGGTAACTTTCAGCGAGTGGCGACAGAGATTCGTATTTGAAGCGAGAACACAGCAATTTTTTATATATTCCAGGCTATTCAACCTTTCTTTGCTTCCTTTTTTAATTCTAGAACGAACTTTACGCTATTCTTCCTTTTTTCTTTTGTACGTTTCAGAATATTTCTTCCGATGGAATTTTTAGTGCAGCGTAAAAGAGCTTTCGTTTAAAAAATTCATTATCTAATAATTGAGGTAGTAAATGTTTCATAAATCTAGTTAGGATTAATTTCAAATTTTTTATATTTGTGAAAAGTATTACTAGTATTAAAAGTATTATTACAGACTTTTAACAGATTTATATTTCACTACAACAAAAATGGATCTATCGTAATTTATCACAATCCGCAAATAGGAATTAAAAATAATAGTCTTCCATATTGACAGTACAGTTTAATTAAATACTACAGTTCAAAAATATATTCTAAAGTAAAAATGCAAGTATAAAACTACTACAAAATTTTTATATAAAATTTTCGTTTTCTATAATTTTTGTTCAATAAAACAATATTTGGAAAAAAATAAAGAGTAGAAAAAGTAGGAATTGTATATTTTAAAGATATTTACAATATTGTTTCCAAGTTAGTAAGTTCATTGTACTAAACTTTGTTATCGCGTGGAGCAGTAAAGTTTATAGATGCACTTAAACAGTGTAAAAGGTAATAAAACAAAAGAAGTGACATTAAACGGCGATAAAGATGGGGTTAGTGGCAGTAAAGAGGTTAGGTTGTCATTCGATCAGACGATATTTAGTGTTTAATAGCCTAATAAAGAGATTTTTGTTCTTAAATGTATCATTGTATTAGGTTATATATCTTAATAAATAAGAAACAATTTAAAAGCGATTTCAAGATTTTTAAAAAAACAAAACAAGTAAGTGTTTGCAACATTTCACCTTACATGAGTTTCAAAGAAAAATAATTTTACAATTGTTTTATATAATAATGTAAATATGTGTAATTTATGAAAAAGATGTTTTGCATAATCTACATATATTTGTTTTATTTCAAATATTGCAATAGTTTTTAAATAACAAAATATAATATGAAAATGATATTTTAACGAATAACAATAATTTTAATGAATTAACAAGATTCGGTATTTATCCACTTATCTTGTACATACTAATATTGAAATTCGTCAAAATTTATATTTAACAATTTTCCACTAATGTCTTTTGACAGCAATTTAATTGCTCTCGTTTAATTTATTTTTTGTCAAATATTAAATTTTGTTAACAATTTTTTTCGGTACATTTGGTATTTTAATAAATAATTGTTGTCATACAAAATCAATTTTTTAGAACGATGAATGAACTTTATAAAATAATAGTGTTTGTGACGTAAACTGAAAACAATGAATTGCGCAACTTTATCTGTTAACTTCCAATATTCTGCACATTCGATATTGAATGTCTTTGCCAATAAATTCAGATTACCTGAGTCACTCGTGTGGAAAGAATTCACTGGACCGAGAAGGTTAAGTTCAGCGTATTAAAAGCCTTCGTACTCGAAACATTCCATTGTGAGAAGTTTTATAAA